GTGGAGTGAGCAATACTCAACAACACTTCCTTAATAGCATATGCCTTAATATGCTTCGAGGTACCCGTATTCAGCCACCATTCTTCAGAGTTACCAGAGTTACTAGCAAGGTTAATCTCTGCTATTTTCACAATCATCACAACCACCAATCCTTCTTTTCAGTCAAGTTAACACTAGAACTGGTGTTATACTCGTTCATACACTTTCGTGTCATATGACCTAATTTCTCGCATTTAATTGAGAAACATAGCGTCATTCTTAGAGAATTGGGTGACAATCTTATGGTTACCACAAAGGGTACCATTCTATTTGGTATGGATCTGGTTCGGCTTGCTGCTCTCATTCTTGAAACTTTAATGTTTCACAGCAACCTAAGTGGTTCGTGTAGTACTGATAATAGTACTTCTTATAATATCGTTATTATGGGCAATAAACCCATTCTATTCCCATATATTCTTTACATATATGCAAGCATTTAAACAAATGCAAGCATTTAAACAAAATCATTATACTCCATAGCATGTATTCAATTTATGCTCTAATCATCGAGATACGTATTATATCTCAATGTCAACTTATCATGCATCAATTCAAGCTTTCATTCTAGCATTCATAACCTTTCTAAATTTCATGCATAAAACCAATAGACATGAATTCTAATTTTGTCATTTATGAATGACTCACGAAAAAGGTTAAGATTCTAACCTCTTTGCCGAGAAGTCACTCCCTTTTGATTTTATATATAGAATAGCTAGCACCATGCGTAGAATTGCTCGTCATATTTGTACCACTAGTGATGTCACGGCCAAGCTGCTTTCTATGCTCAAATCTCACGCACATCACGAGTGGCCATGTAATTTCCACACCAAAAGGAAGAAAGGAAAGATTGGCGTCAGTATTATGGTACAACTAAATCTCTTGGTCATAATTAACATTTCTATTATTATAATCTCAAGCAATGTTCATCATAATGAACACGTATCCCTTCTTGTCGAGAAACACGACATTGATGTTCCTGCAGGATTGCTGGGCAATATTGCCTTGTCACTAATCGAACCTGCAAATTCAAGCAATGGCATTCACCAAGAAGGGTTTACGGGAATGACACAGATATTCCCTAATTACGGAGCGGAATTGAGAAGGGCACGAAATTACTCCCTTCCTTTCTCTTCCAATCGCCACTGTCTAGTCCCCGCTACGTGCTTCTCGATAACGATTACCGGTTCCGAGATTGAGATTTGCAGAGCCAGATACGATAATCTGTTCGATCGATTTGACAGTAACCAAACGTCTTAAAATTGTTAGAAATCGAACAGAAAATCTAGGGTTACCGATCTGGCTGAGTCGCGGACTAGGTCGCTCTCTTTAAGACGTTCGCGGCACTGCCTCGTAATTCGCACAGCAGACTATCAGCCGGTCGCCTCCAGGATAAAACAGCCACTCTAATTTATTGCTCATCGGTTTTGTGCGAAAACCGGAGCTCTATGAACTCACTCTCTCTCGTGTTTCTGCTCTCTGAGGTGTATTTAGAGGGTCTAGGGGTCTACTATTTATAGGAGCAGAAAACCTAGAATATTCCCTCTTTCTTTGGGAATAAGCCACATTTTAATTAGGAAGATAATTACTTCCATAATTAAAATATATTATATTAAGATAATTAATCCTAATTATCTCCATAATATTCTTTTTATTAATTATCCTTCCTATTTTCGTATCTAGAAAGAATACGGGATAATTAATTCAATATAGCTTTCAAAGCTATTCATTCCCAACAACAACTTTACAATAGTACAACTTCAAGTTGTACTATAAAAGAATTTGTACAAAAAGTATAGGTACAATCTGAAGTTATATCATAACGTAAATGTACGATTTTAAATTGTACCATAAAGACAAAAACCTATAGCACCAATACTATATAGCATTGTAAAATTTCTCGTACGAAGAACCAAGAGTTTGTGATGTAAAAACATGTTTCCTTTATGAACTTCATTAATGTGTTGTTTGTTTGTGGGATTTGGGTGATGTATTTGTCACCCAAATACAAAGCATTATGTATTTGATAAAAAAATATTGTTTGTTGAGGTATACAAATCTGTGAGTCATGAATTTGGATCTTTTTTAGCTCCAAACCCATGGACCCCACGTATTTGCAAATACCACATTTCATTTGGTATTTGGTCATGGAAGGCAAGGATTTGAGACCCAAGGTACAAAAATCTTTAAATTCATGATAAAGTCAACTAAATATACAATATTATATTTTCAAATACAAAATGAAACAAATCCATCATAAATTCAAAGGTTTTCAAAACTAATAATCTTCATTTTCAAACTAACAAGTAGATGAGTCATAACGCGGACAGGCAGAGCTAGCATGGAAGAAGTGGTTCCATGACACCTTGATTTGGACTTTCAACAAGAAAATATAGATATAATTGGAAATGAAACCCATTTAGAATAGAAATAAGGACTCTGTCGCACCCTGAATTAGTTGCTTGAGAGAGAAAAAATGTTAATATTTTTATCGATATATAATAAACACTAATATTTCTTATTAAAAAATTCATTAGAGACTAATCCGTCTAAAATTAACACTCATACAACGAAATTCTAATTTTTCCTCCTTTTATCTTGACTAAAAGAATTCTCATGATTTGAAGTCAAATAAACAATAATATTATAAATTTTTTATATCGTACATTACAAATGAAATTCTAGTTAATTAACCTTTTTCAAAAATATGAAAATGTATTAAATTCTAACGATGCCACTGCAAAAAAATTCTTTTAAGTTATATGGTGTGTAATTTAAAGAACTGGGCCGGTCAAAAAATGGTGGTCCAGATTGGACAGCCCGATAGGCTATCCGAGCCTGAGTGTCACCGGCCTGTTATCCCTCCACTGCCTGGAGAGGGGAGCCACGCTGCTCTGTGAAACCAGCCTGACGTATTATCTCCCAACTCTAGGAACCAGATCGGCTCAAGTCTTCACCAAGCCTTCCCGGCCCAACTCCAAGCTTGGAGCGGGCAGGCCAGATACTGACATAACCAAGCCCAGCCTTACGAGAACGGCCCAATGTCCCACCATTTTAGTGCCTCCACATGGATGACAAGCCCTTGTTAGTGAGCTCGGCGGTGACGTCTGCTTCACATGCATATTTAAAATGCCCTATAACTACTGTTTCAGCGATGTGGTAGCTATTCTCACTTCATAGAGTATTAAAGTTGAATCTCCCTTATCTTTGTCTTATAACCATTAGCAGCAGCTACCAACAATGGCCATTTTTGCCTTAACACAAAGCTCGAAAATGATCCACCAAAAATCTTAAGCTCTTGCTCTGGCAGCTCACCTATTATTTGTGCAAGTAAATTTGATGAACAACAAAGTAAGAGGCGGTTTTCCATCTAAGGTTGTGGACGCATATAGTTGTTGTCGTGTTTTTTTTTTCCGTTGTTCTAAGTGACAATTTTACGGTAAGTCTTCAATAAAAGATTGAATTGTGAAACACCAATTTGGAATGAGCTCACGGAGATTGAAGAGCACAATAATTGAATTGTTGGAACACAACAGTTTCTGAACAAGAATCTCCAAGCTTTTGGGTTTGGAAATTTTTCGAAAATATCATTTTTAGCTGTTCATCGAATTTGTAACTTAAGTTAATGAACAACAAAGTAAGAGACAGTTTTCCATCGTGTAAGGTTGTGGAAGCATATAGACGTTGTAATATTCTTTTCGCTGTTGTTTTAAGTGGCAATTTTAGGGCTAGACTTGAGCAACTCAATCTCTTATGCTCCCTCTTGCCGTGAAGACAATCTAGCATAGTTAAAATTCTGCTGGTACTTAAATTCTGATCATAATTATTTTTATTTGCCAAAATAAGAAGAAAAAAAGAAAAAAGAAAAAAAGAAGAAGAGAAAATACAAAAAAGAATAGAAGATACAAAACCAAGGGCAGCCTAGAGTAGGGAGAGCCAAAATGCTGCAGTTTGTTTCTTGATTTCTTTGTACTCTGAACCTCTTTCCATACACCTTTGGTGTATTTTCTGTTTAATGATTATTCACCTTCAAAAAAAAACTTAATTTTATTTGCTTTTTGGAGTGTAGAATAGATTCGTTAATCCTTATTCCTACTAAATAGGATACGAGATAGTAGCACTTTGGAACACATTTTCTGATTTTCTCGAAAGAAATTTCTAACTTATTATATATGGTTTTGAGAAACCCTATTGGGTAGGGGTGGAAATTGGGGTGGGTGTGGTTACCCGCCCCACATTTTGCGGTTAACCACACCCACAAATGTAGAAATATGAACCCACAACCCGCCCTGCAGTGGATAGTGGTTAACCACTACCCACTCCGGGTTGGTGCGGGTTGGATGTGAATTACATATTAAGTTAGGACGATGGTTAGTAATTTTTAGGACGACCTTTAACCATTCAGTAAATTAACAACCATATGAATTAAAATTATAAGATATATATTGATTCGTCCATAAGTTGGTAATCGAGTTGGCTCTCTAGCCACATGTTAAGGCATATCATGAGCTCTAAACGAGCCAGCTCATGAGTTTAGCTCAACAAGCCACCGAGTCGAGCTAGCTTGCGAGCTTCACGAGCTGAACAAAGGTGAGCTCGTGTTCGGCTCGTTTATTAACGAGCTGAGTTTCGAACGAGCTTTTCTCGAGTCAAACGCCGAGTCGCTCGCGAACAGCCCGGCTCATTTGCAGCCCTACAGTCCTCCGTAGCCTGTAGGCGTAGCTCCATTCCCAGCCGCCGCCGCATCTTCTCACCGTCACATCACAGCCTCTACGCCTCCTCACCGTCGCCGTCGCCGTCGCGCCGCTACTTCGAAAAGACGAAGAGACTTAGACTTCCTCGCCTTTCTCTTGCGCTCTACTGAACACGTTCCAATAACAAAAATGGCGGAAGCAGAGGGGAAGAAGAAGGGAGAGGAAACTGTCGGCGAGAAGAAGAGCAGGGGACAGGGAAAGAAACGGAAGATGGAGAATCACGCATCACAGACGGAAGATATTCAGGAGCGGAAGCACAACGACGAAGGGAAACCACACCAGCAAAATCAGGTTGCCGGAGGCAACCCATCTGCTAAAAACAACAAGAAGAGGAGGAAGCAGAGAGAAGTGTTTCCATTTGGAAACTACAGAAACTACTACGGATACCGTGTATTGTCTCCCTTCATTCCCCTTTTTTCTGGTGATGTCTGTTTGACTGATGATTAGCCATAAGAAATCATATTGGCTGTTAGAGAGTAGCTCTATGAGTGCTGGGTAGGCATAATTTTTGTTCTTACTACAAATAGTTCCATGGAATCCTTACAAAGGTGTTGCCTTTGCTGCTGATTAATAGATTGGTCAAGAGTTGGATGAAGATCCTAGGATTAAGGTCTTAAAGAGGGAGTGGTTTGAGGGGAAAGATTGTCTCGACATTGGCTGCAATAGTGGCATCATCACCATCCATATTGGCAAGTTTCCTAATTCCACAAAGGAGCTGAACAAAATCTTGTTTGTGATTTGTCTCTGATTTTTGTGATGGTTCTTGATCATGTTAAGAAAAGATTGTTGCTAGATGGTTAAGTTTGATGAGAAGAATATGGGAAAACATGTTATCTGGTGAAGCAATCCTGGAGTTGAAGGGCATAAACTAGTGTAAGTTCCTTAGGACTGCCCTCCCACTTCTGTTTTCTCTCCTTTTAGTTCTTGATGGAGTGCTGCTATCTCAATATCAGTTATACCAGGTGAAACTTGAACTTCTGTGAATTTTGATGTAAAATAGGTAGTTTTATAGGAAATATACCCGTCATAGCAGTAGGAACTTGGATCTCATCAGTTTGTCTATATTGAAGTATTTCCAAGTGACTCGGGATTTTCATGTTAAGTGATTTTGATAAATTTGTTTGTACGCCTTACCTTTTGGGCAGAAAGTGTGTGGCCTTTTTTTTTTGTTTCCAGTTATTTTCTACCCTACCCGTTCTGCATCATATTGATAGTGAGCTTTTGTTCATCTTCTGCAGCCAAAAAGTATAGCTGCCGGAGCATGCTTGGAGTAGATATAGACCCCGGTAAGATCCTAAATTGCGTGTCTAGTGCCTGGTTGTAAACATTTGTTCATGTTAAGGTTCCCTATGTACATACCAGAAGTTGTTCTTGTGTTTTTCAATTTTTATTTAACTGAAAGTCTATTGCAGTCGTACTTAGGACCTGCTCAACCATTAGCTGTTCCTTGCTTCTTGACTTTGGTATTGGATTTTATGTAATCCTTGTTTGTCCCAGACATGTTTTAGTCTGGAAGACTTGAATTGGAGTAGATGGACAAGTTCTCTTGACTTAGCTAAACTTGCTATGTTGCAGCCCGTATTTCTGATGCATATTGGCACTTGAGAAAATTTTCGAGAGAGCATTCTGGGAGTAGTAGTACAAAGATCTCCAAGGAAGAGGTCAAAGAGAAATTGAATGCTTCCATGCTAATTGCACATGCAGTACCAGGAGATGACAAGGAGACCAAGAAAGACTCATCATTTTCCAAGACAAGAAATCTGTTTGATGTAGTTTCCTTCAGACAAGAAAATTTTGTTGACAGTCGGCACTCCTATGAGAAGCAGTATGATACTATTCTATGGTGAGTATCCTTCTATTTTCAGAGTTTGTGGAGTTATATCTGAAACGACTACTGAAGTGTAAGGACTTAGAGCTCTGATTTTTATTCCTACAACTGCATCTTGTAGTCAATTTATCTGGTTATCCCTCCCTTGTTTGAGCCAAGAAGGTGTAAACCAATGAAACTGGGAGACAAGACAACTGCTGTGAACCACATTTTACTTTGTCGAGTAATAGATTTGTTAGCTTAGCTATCAACTTGTGTGATCGTCTACCTAAGATGGTTGTATATTGTTTGCAGTTTGAGTGTAGCAAAGTGGATTCACCTGAACTGGGAAGATGATGGGTTGATTACCCTATTTTCTAAAGTGTGGAAACTACTTGTCCCGGTATTCCTTTCATAATCCTGTATCTTGTATTTTGTAATTCTCCTTATAAGCTGATGTTTACAAAAAATACAGGATTGTTTTATACCGTTACACCAGTAGCCATTGACACTGCGGTTCCTTATTTCTTGAGCCGGGTGGCACTTTTATATTGGAGCCACAGCCTTGGGATTCGTATAAGAAGAACTACCAAGTCTCCAAGGTATTTGTTTTTCGTCTTCAAGTAAGCAGGTTCTATGTTTACAAATTGTTTCATCATGTCAAACTTGAACTTCTTTCTTCTTTGTTCTCGCGAACAAAGCAGTTCTATGATAACTACTTTTATCGTGGTAAACCCCAATCTTCGGTTTTGGATGGGATGTGAACATATTGTTTCCTAAGAGATGTGGTTTGATAAACCAGCTGATAGCATGTTTTGCACATGGGCAGACTGCTGCTGAACATTACAGAAACATCATGTTTCTCCCAGACAGCTTTCGGGAAATGACAAGAGGGGATAGAGATTCGGTAAATTTTGTTAGAGGTGTACGAACGTGCTTATTTTTTGAGCATCATAGAGAGCCCCTCTCCCCATAATCCATGTGTTGCTCTAAGTGCGAGTGATTTCAACCATTATCCATGAAATGGCAGGTTGCAAAATGTATAAATTCATATGGGTCATTGTCTGGTTTTGATATGCGCTTGCACATTTGTTTTTGTGCGAGGCGTTTGTACATATCCTGTGTCATTTAGCACATACAACAAGGAAAACTGAAACGGTTCTGCATAGAGTAGCAATCTCCCAATGTCCAATGTTTTAGGGACTCCCAAGTGATCTAGGGGATGGAGTCCCAGTCCTATTCTTATGCGAATCGCACTCTGACAAAATGGTGCGTCCAATGATGTACGTAGAAGGATTTTATTCAGTCGAAAGAAATGTTGCTTTACGACGAAAATCCTTACTTTGTGTTGGGCCAAATATTGGGGCGTCTGGGCCCCAGGCCCATAGTAGCCTAAGACCCATTGCTGGGCCAAATAGTGAGACACTTGGGCTCCAAGCCCATAGTAACTTAGAGTCCGTAAAGAAACGAGTCGGGCCTGAGTAGGGGCAACGAGCCACCAAAACCCGCCAAAGGCGGTCTTTTCCCTAAAATACAGCGAGAACCGCCCTACTTGGATGAATGACCGCCCGACATGGAGACATATGGATGCTTGGTCCTGACCTTATCGGTACGGAGCCTGACAAAGGTACAGATAAGTCAGTACTGTCGAGGGCGTCCCAAGACCGCCCGACACAATGGCAAACGGAAACCTGGCTCTTACCTGATCTATACGAAGCCTGAAAAAGGTACAGAGTGGCCAGAACTGTCGAGGGCGTCCCAGGAACCCCCTGAGGACCTTTCTGCAGGGTTTCGGAGACCGCCATCGACCGTCGAGGCCGCCCAAGGCCAGTGGAGTCTCACAAACCGCTTGGAACAATCCAAGCACAAACATTTTTGCGCCCACCGTGGGGCCCACGACTTTGTGGCGAACGAGATGGGAGACGACTTCGAAACCCCCCTCAAGGGGATGACCGAAAACAACACCCTCCGAGGCTTGTCGCCGAGGGTCGAAGATGAAACCGAGCTGGAAGAAGTAGTCAAGAGTCAAGGAATACAAATCGCGAGCATGCAAGATAGCCTTTCCCAAATCCTTCAGCTTCTAAAAACCCGAGACGACCACGCCGAGGGATCGAAGGGGAAGGCACGCGACGAGAAGCTGAAAGGCGCTCTTATCCTCGACAGCCCCGCTCGGACGGAAGGCGGAGGACTAGAGGCCGACGACCCGGATTTCAACTTTCTAGAGGAGCATTTGCGGTCTACCTTCGGGAAGCACAAGAGCCCGAACATCCTTCAGAATCCTTTATCGAAAGAACTCTTCAGGACTCCGGTCCCTCCCAACTTCTCCTCTCTTGGACTACCTACCTACGGCGGGACATCAGACCCCGCCGACCATCTTTGCGCATTCAAGTTAAAAATGCAACTCATCAACGCAACAGACTCGGATCTGTGTCGTACGTTTCCGGTTACCTTCAGCGGTCAATGCCGAACGTGGTACACCTCACTCCCGGAGGGGATTATAGAAAACTTTGAGTAGTTTGCAATGCTCTTCTCCACCAAATTCGCGTCTCAACGACGTCGCAAACTCACCGTCTCGACACTCATAAATTGCCGACAGAAGAAGGAAGAGTCGCTTGCCGAGTTCTACGACCGATGGAACGCGATAGCTTGCGAGATAGACGGCATCTCCCCAGTCGTGGCCGCCGGGAACCTCCGAATCTCGACGACCAGTCTCGAGCTGAAAAGAACACTGATAAAAAAGGAAGCGACCCTGACGGCCTGGTCCGATTTGGATCAGTTGGTACGCCGAGCAATCTTATTGGAGGAAGCGCTAGCCAACGACGACCGAAGCCAGCAAGGCCGCCCCCGCGGAGACGCCTCAGAGCGTGGAGACCCCCGGAGGGGAAGGCGGTCCCCAGACCGTAGGTCGTACCGAAATAGGTACACTGATCGTGAAGGAAGAAGAGACGTGCTCTCCACCGATAGGGAAAGGGGCAGAGACCAGAAGAAAGGAGGCAGAAAGTATGAGGCGTCCTCCACTCAAGAGCCACGGGAAGGAAAGAAGTGGTGCGACTGGCACCAAATTACAACCCATGACACCACAGAGTGTAGAGAGTTCAAGGCCACGCTCCGACACCTGGCCCCAGGAGACCTACGAAGCAAGCTGGAAACAAGGCGGTCTCACAGAGAGCACTCCGCCGAGGAGCGGGAGGAGTCGCCGAGTCCTGAACAGGACAAGACGAGACGGGCAAGAAAGGAGAGATCAAGGTCTCGCTCTCGAAATAAAGTCGCCTCCCCTCTGAGGCAGTCTCCCCCCTACAGAGCACCCCGGAACGACGATGACGGAATGTAAGTCATAACAATCGCAGGAGGTCGAAAGCGCCCAAGAACCGAAGGGGACCGCATCGCACAGTGCCTCAACGTGCAGCGCAGAGCGCCGACAGAGGTTACCTTCTTGCCCTCTGAGTTAGCCAATGAAGAAAGCTCGGAAGACCCCTTGGTAGTCTCTTTTCGAACCGCCAAATTCAAAATCACTAGAGCCCTAGTTGACAACGGAAGCTCGGCGAATATACTATTATACTCGGCGCTCAAGGGAATGAAGAAGACCGTCCAAGATCTCCAACCCTCCAACACCAGCCTTGTAGGTTTTTCAGGAACAAAAGTCCGCATCCTCGGTTCAATCACCCTCAAAGTCACTATAGGAGAGGGTGGAGTTACAAAGACCCGCCCGGTGGAATTCCACGTCGCGGACTTCCCTTCCTCTTACAACGCCATTTTAGGCCGCGGTTTCCTCGCAACATTCGAAGCGGTCGCCTCGACCTGCCATCAAATGCTGAAATTCCCAAGTGGGAACCTCACGGGTCGCATCCGAGGTAATCCCAAGGATGCCAAGGAATGCTACCAGGCGACGATCGAACATTTGGAGGTTGACATGGTCGACGCAAGGGATGACGTACCTCGCCCAGAGGCGGTCAAAGGCGACGTGGCGGTCCCCCTCAACGAAGAAGAGCCAAGCAAAACCGTGCGCATCTCGGCCCACTTGGCCGACGAGGAGGCTCAGAAATTGTTAACCCTCCTCCGAGAATTTCAGGACCTCTTCGCATGGGGACCGGAAGACATGCCAGGCGTCCCTCGCCGAGTCTCCGAGCACCGACTCTCCGTCAAGCCCAAAGCAAAGCCAATACAGCAGTGGAGGAGACACTTGTCTGTGGAGAAACAAATGGCCCTCGAGGAAGAGATAAGACGCCTTCTAAAGGCCGGCTTCATACGGGAAGTCCAATATCCCACCTGGCTCTCGAATCCCGTCTTTGTGCGCAAGGCCGGGGGCACTTGGAGGATGTGCATCGATTTCACCAGCCTCAATGCGGCGTGCCCCAAGGACGCATACCCTCTACCCCGCATCGACCAACTCATAGACGGGACCGCCAACCACGAAGCGCTCAGCTTCCTAGACATGTTCTCAGGCTACCACCAAATCAAGATGGCGGAAGACGACCAAGAGCTAACCGCATTCATGACACCCATGGGTAACTTTTGCTATGTGGTGATGCCATTTGGGTTGAAAAATGCGGGAGCGACCTTCCAGAGGATGGTCGACGCGGTCTTCAAATACCAGATGGGAAGAAACGTTGAGGCCTACGTGGACGACGTCCTGGTCAAAAGCAAGAAAGCCGGAGACCACCTCTCCGACTTAAGGGAAACCTTTGAAACCCTGCGGAGGAAAAACCTAAGGTTCAACCCACTTAAATGTGTCTTCGGCGCTGAGGCAGGAAAGTTCCTCGGCTTCATGATCACGAAGCGAGGAATAGAAGCCAACCCGAAGCAGATAGAAGCCATCCGCAGCCTGAAACCGCCCAAGACGATCAAAGAAATTCAGGCATTCAACGGCAAAATGGCCGCGCTCGAGAGGTTCATCCCGCGGTCGGCGGATAAGTGCTCACCATTTTTTCAGATGCTCAGAAAGTCAGCCTCAAAGCTCCAATGGGGTGCCGAATGCGACCAAGCATTTACCCTCCTGACAAGTCAGCTAAGTTCCCCACCGGTCTTGAGCGCCCCCATGAGCGGGGAACGACTCTACCTTTATCTAGCAGTCTCGGATCGAGCAGTGAGCTCCGTCCTGGTGTGGAGGGCGCAAGACAGTTCTGACCAGCCAGTGTACTATACAAGCAAAGCTCTTCTCCCTGCCGAGACGAGATACATGCCCGTTGAGAAGGCGGTCCTTGTTGTAGCTTCCGCGGCCCGAAAGCTAAGACCTTACTTCCAGGAGCACCCCATCACCGTACTGACTAACCTTCCCCTCAAAAGCATCATGCGAGGAATGGATGCCTCATGGAGGTTGACGAAGTGGGCGATCGAGCTCAGCGAGTTCGACATTGAGTACGCCCCAAGACCGGCGATCAAGGCCCAAGTGCTGGCCGACTTCATCGCCGAGGGGTTCTCACTGGAAGGCGTTCCCTCTGAGGAGCGCAATCACATTTGGCGGCTGTCCATCGACGGGGCAGCAGGAAAAACCGCCTCTGGGGCAGGAATAGTCATTGAATCGCCGGACGGTGTTATCCACGAAATCTCCCTGCGATTCAAGGAAATCAAAACCAACAACGTTGCTGAATACGAGGCCCTCATCAATGGACTTCGCATACTCGCCATCCTGGGCGCTTCTGACGTGCATATATACTCAGACTCTCTCCTAGTAGTCAAGCAAGTGCATGAAGCGTTCGAGATCAAGGATGAGAAGCTGGCCGTCCTAGCTACCCAAGTGCGAAGCGCCCTCGCACAGCTAAGCTCT